CCCCACATGTATGGACACCCCCACGTGTATGGACACCGCTACATGTATGGACACCCCCCAGGACCTACCTGCCCCACATGTATGGACACCCCCACATGTATGGATACCCTCACGTGTATGAACACCCCCACATGTATGGACACCCCCCAGGACCTACCTGCCCCACATGTATGGACACCCCCCCAGGACCTACCTGCCCCACATGTAGGGCCCATAGAGCCTCTCGGCTGCACTAAGCCACTGCTCCACCACACCTGACAACTTGCTGGTGGCCGTGGACAGCAGGCATGGTTCAGCCCATACACGGCTCCTGTGTGCACAGAGGGTGGGCTGGGCCCCAGCTCCCCTGGGAAGCCTACAGCTTCCCTGCCTCGGCCCCCACCTGCCACCCGCCCGGCCATGCCCCAGTCCCCAGCAGGGACCAAGTGGCATCTATACAAGAGGGCCCCATCTGCCATGTCTCCTATCCACAGTAGTCTGGGTGGACATGGCATGGGTCAGTAGTCTTGGCAGGGGTACAGTGAGCAGGGAGCTGGGGATCCAGGAAGCTGAGACCTGCAGTTGATGTCTGAGGGCCAGGAGGGGGGTCTGGCCTGGTAGGGCTGAGCCCAGGCTGTGGCAATAAGGTAGATGCAGGGGCTGACCCTCCACCCTAGGTTGGGTGACAAGAACCAGAGAGTAGGGGCCCTACCTGGGTCCGATATCCGCGGGCTGCAGGTCTCCGGCCACCAGGGCCACGAGGTAGGCGGGCACCGGGTGCTCCATGTGGAAATGGTACACACCCTCCTCCTCCACATATGAGCTCTGGGTGGCGCTCATCAGCACCTGTACCCCTGAGGGAGCCTGCGGGACGCCCGCACTGAGGAGCAGGCGGCCCACCTGTCAGGGCCCCCGCAGCCCAGGGTACAAACCTGCGCCCGTCACTGGGAAACCCCGAATCTCCCTACTGGGGACCCCACAAGCCTACCAGAGAGTTTCTTGCATCAACCAAAGAATGTCCAACCCACACAGAGGACCACAGCCTCCCGGTCTGGGGCCTCCTGCTCCTCCCCTAGTCGGGGGACCCAGCTCCCCAAAGTCCAGGGCCTCACCTTGGGCCCAGGGACTCCATCCTTGGTCAGGCCTGTCTGTGAGGAGCCCCACCTCCCCCGCCTTCTGCAGACCAGTCCGTCTCCCCACAGTGAGGAGGACACACCTCGTGACCACGCCAGTGATAACAAGCAGAAGGTGCCCATGGCTGCCCAGCCTGCGTGCTCACAACGCAGTAGGACTGGGGTCTCACCTTGACAACGGCTGAGTAGGTGCACTTGACAGCAGGCGTGTCGAAGCAGGGGAAGAAGGAACGATTGCAAACAGAGTGGCCTTGTGTGAACACGAAGGGCTTGGAGTGGCCGTAAGTCAGCTCCGGGTCCAGCCACCAGATCTGTGAACAAGTGGGCAGGCTCACCATACAGCAGGGACAGCCACCCTCTCAGAAGTTCTGAGGGTACAGCCCATCCTAGCTGTTCTGCCCAGGAGGCCAGAAAGAGAGAAAGGAGTCTGTGAATGGGGAAGACAGGGCCTGGAGAGCTGGCTGGGTGGTGAGGCGCTCCGGGGAAAGATGGGTTGGACAAGGCACCTTGTTAGGGACTATTGGGGGACACCTAGGGTCTCGCTCCAAACCCACTTCACTGAGTCGATTCCAACTCAAAGCAACCACCTCGGACAGAGTCAGATGGCTCCACAGAGTTTCCAAGGCTGGGGATCTTTATGAAGGTGGGCCGCTACAGCTTTCTCCCCTGGAGCAGCTGATGGCTTTGAAGCATCCATCTCTCTGTTAGCAGCCCAGTGCTCAACTCACGGACCCACCAAGAGTCCTTTGGGTCTGGCTCAGGTGTGCCTTTGAACTGACTGCAGTGAACTGTCCCTGGATTACTCTGCCTGTCACCAGAATCTGAGGTCAACTCAAAGACGTTCTCAGAGCAATGAGCACAAGGTGGGGACCCTCAGCCACCCCAGACATGGCTGGAAGATGCCAGGTACACTCCTGATCCCACAGGTCCTGACAGCTGTGAGGCCATGCACAGCATGTAGGTGGTTACAGGTGAGGCACGGCACTGCTCTCCTACAACGTGGGCCTGGGCCTTACCCTGTAAAGGGTGAGTGGCCATACTTGTGAGGGGACCAGTTCTTGGCTCAAAGACCACATTCCTCCCTCCTCACTGCTGAACTAGGGGTGCTGGGCACATAGTGGTCACTTGTCAGCGCCCTGAGCACTGGAGTGGTGAGGTGTGTGTGAGGCCTGGGCGGGTCCTTCATGAGCCCCAGCCGGTCACGGTGTGCACCCAGTGTTAATGGAACAGCCTGGACCTTCCAGAACCTCATGCGTGTGTGGACTCTGGGGCAAACCCACACACAACAGGAAGAACTCAGCAAAGCCCTTCTCCATCTTGACCGCCAGCCAGTCTCACCATGGGGATGGCCAGAAGCCGCAATGCCCACCTGGCCACCTGATCTCTGGCAGGGTCTCTGGGGCAGAAGGCACCCATGCCCACAGCCCTGAATGCTGGGGTGATGGTCTCAGCACTATCATCCCCTACCAAGGGGCTCCAAAGCCAATTGTCACAGTCAAGCCCAACACAGAACAGACCTGGTCACCCAGGTGCCCTCAGGGCTCGGTGCAATGCAGGCAGACAGGGTTTAGCAGCAGTTCCAGTCCCCTCAACAGGGAGGCCTCCTGGCGACATGTCCCCCCCCCCCCCCATCCCTCTTCCCCAACACACACACACACACTACACACTCACATACGCGTAGTTTTGGGAGCCAGAGCAGCAGGGTTAGTCCAGCTCAATCTTCTTCCCCCCCCCCCCCATCCCTCTTCCCCAGCACCACTCAGACCTCCTAGAAGGCATCTAGGCAGGACCCCGGTGCAGGTGGGAGAGAGCCAGTCTGGAGGCCTGGCCCTCTCTGCAGGTGCCCTGGGGGTCACCAGTGGACTCACTGCAGGGGCATCAATGGAAGTGTAGCGCAGGATGATTTGGAAGGGCTGGTGTGCTGGCAGCTCGGGCGGCAGCGTGATGGTGAGCGAGGAGCCATAGTCGGTGAACGGGTCCACCCGGAAGGCCAGTGGGCAGCAGGAAGGCTCGCCGGCCGTCTCAGGGAAGGCAGGCAGCGGGGGTGGCGGGGACCCGGGCGTCGGCGCAGCGAAGGCAAAGGCGCAGGGTGGTTCCGGGGTAGCGGCGGCGGCAGAGGGGCGGCGGAAGGCGGCCGAGTGAAGGCGCAGGGCCGGGTGCGCGTCGAGCACGAGCGCGCGGGGCGCGGGCCGCCGCGCGCACAGTTCCAGCACCAGGCAGCCGGCCAGCTCGCGCGCCTCGGGCCGCAGCTCCAGGCCCAGCTGCAGGTGGCGGAGGCGGAAGAGCTGAGCGCTGGAGGCCGAGGCCACGTCCAGGGCGGGTGGCGGTTCAGGCGGCGGGCGGGCGGGCGCAGCCTCAGCGCCGGGGGCCTTGCGGCAGCAGCACTGCGCCGCCATGGCGCGCGCTAGGTGACATCCATGGGCGGCGCGGGCCGGGCGGCGGCGGGGCGCGGGCACAACAGGAAGTCGCGCCGGGAGCCGCCCGCCGCCCCGCGCCGTGCGCCTCCCCGCTCGGGCTCCGCGGCTTCGCTCGGCCGCCACCGCCGGGGGCGCTGTGCTGGGCGCGGGGACCGGGCCGGGGACGCGCAGGGACGGATCCTTGGCTGCTCCACCCCGCGCGTCTTGAGTACCCCCCAAACCCTCTGGCGGCGGGAGGCCCCTCTCTGTGGACACCAATGCGCCTCTGCCTTTGTGGTCTGTGCCCTCTGGGAGTGAGGGCCTGCTGACTCCCCGCCCAGCCTAATATGGTGGCTTTGGGGCTGTTGGGCGGTCAAGACCTGGGACTGGGTGGGCTCCCCTCTGCGGTCACTTCTAGTCACGTGTGACGACAGAGAGCCGAAGATAATTCATCCCACCTGGTGGTGCAGTGGGTGAAGCATATTCTAGGGTTGGCGGTTCAAACCCACCAGCTGCCCAGTGGGAGAACAATGAGGCTGTCTGCTTTCTTAAGATTTACAGCCTCAGCAACTCCGGATCCGTTGGATTCTGTCCAATAGAGCGTTATGAGTCAGGATCTACTCACCGAGCATTTGGTGAGTAGATCCTGACTCACCATTTCAAGGTCTCGGTGGCCCAGTGGGGCTAGTGTGCTGTGGTGGACAGTGCAGATGGTGACCTTGTTCACTGATTGGACAGCGCTGCCTTAGAGGCTGGCTCACCCAGAACACAGGCTGCTTTGAGGCTCAGTTTGAGGCAATTGGCACCTGGCCGGCTTCCCTCACGTCACTTGCCCCATCTCCACTACTGGGCTTGATGTCCGCTGCCCGCTACAAGGAGTCATGGCTGTCCACCAGAGTGGAGCCACTCAGGGGCATGGCGAGAGTTAGAAAGGCGTCATCACACAAGAATTCCAGTTCTTGGAGAGAGGGACCTTTTGGAGGGAGTACTTCCATTCCCCCAAACCTTGAGCACCTCTCCCCAGCATGGGACCCCACGTGGTCTCCGAGGAGCAGGTGAGTTACTCAAGTGTCTCAGTGTCCTCCTCTTGTCACAGGTAGCACTTGGGGTGTGTGTCACGTGATCACGCCTTTAAGGAGGTGGGACACTCCACCATACCTGGGAGGTGAAATATGACTATCTGTGGGGGGTAGGGCATGCGATCATGACTAGGGGATGTGAGTAAGCACGTGACCATTACCTGTGGGGGTGGGGTGGGGTGAGGCATGTTACTACATGTGGGGAGTAGCAGATGTGACCATGTCTGTGGAGGAGGGTAGGACATGTGACCTTGCCTGGGGGATGGAGCATGTGACTACATGTGGGGAGTAGCAGATGTGACCATGTCTGTGGAGGAGGGTAGGACATGTGACCTTGCCTGGGGGATGGAGCATGTGACTACATGTGGGGAGTAGCAGATGTGACCACACCTGTCGGGGGTAGGATGTGAACATGCTTGGGGGTGTGATTTGAAGAATAGACACATGACCATTTATGGTGTGGAGGTGGTAGGACACGTGGGCAAGCTTCTCCTGGGAGTGAGGAGGGCAGCTGATCACATGGCCACCCACAGGGTCCTCAGGTCCCCAGAGGTCCTCTTAGGGGGGACATGCCCTCTTCTGATCCCTAACCCAAGCTCACCATGAACCCCAGGCCTCACAGTCTCCTGGCATTACGGGACGCTCAGTCATGAAATCCTGACTCAAGGGGAGAGCAGTGAACTCTAACCGAGCAGCCACAGAGGCCAGGTGGTGGGGTGTCTATGCTCCTCCCAGCAGGCCTTCAGCTGCCCCACGCCCCTCCCCACAGCAAGCCTGCCTGCGCCCCTGGTGGCAGGAGACAGCATTACACCCTGGACTGCAGCACAGCCTCAAGGGAGGTGGGGACAGAGGTTGCCAGCCAAGCCTGCCTCTCAGGGCCCTTCACCCCACCCCATTGGCCTTAAAGGAACCTGGACACCTGAGTATCCCCGCAAGGTAGGTACATTCACGCCCTGCTTTTCCCTGAGCAAATTCCACGTGGTCTGCAGGTTCTGAAGAGTGGGCTGACCCCATCTACAATGGGGTGCAGGGCCGGCAGCTAGCTGCCCACTCCCTCCCTACTATCACAGGTTCTGAGCACACAGGACAGAGGTCACTCCATCTGCCTCGGGGGTCAGCCTGCGGCCTTCCAGCTTGGGAGGAGGGTAAGGGGACTGATGTGGCTAACAGGCTCCCAATCTGGCTATGCTGGGTCAGGTCGTCTTCCCTGGGGAGGATGTGTCTGCCTGGTGGGGCATGGCGCACATCCATGTTCCACTGCCTTGCTATACAGGTGACTGAGTCACCAGGCAAACACCGGGGCTCTGCCCGTGGGGGCTTCCGAGTTACTGAACAGGTTTCAGCAGTGTCTCGACTAAGATCAGCTGGTGGTCGGCTTCCAGAAGTCACCGAAAACCCTGTGGATCATAATAGAGGGAGCTGTCCTGGCTCTCAGGGCAGTCAGGCTTTGTGGCTACTTCTGGGCCTGGCAGCCAGCAGAGCCCTGGACATGTGGTCAGAGGTTGGGAAAGAAGGTGCATGTTCTCCAGCAGGAGATACACAGGTAGCAGGAAGACATGCGAGTAAGTGTTCCTAATGGCCCCTTGGAGTCCTGGTGTGGTGCTGTGGGATAAAGACTCTATCATAAGGTCAGTTTGAACTGTGAGGTGGGCGGTCCAAACTCATCACCTGCTCCTCAGAAACCTTATACAGGGTTGCCAGGGGTCAGAACTGACTTGATGGTACTTACAACAATGGCCCTTAGAAGTGAGGTTGGCCAGACTTCATCTCACACACTTTGCACGTGTGATCAGGAAGAACCAATCCCTGGAGAAGGACATCATGCCTGGTAAAGTGCGAGGTGGTGGTTATATGCCATGGAGTCGGTTCCAACTCATAGCGACCCTGTACAGGGCTTCTGAGGCTGTAAATCTTTACGGGAGCAGAACGCCTCATCTTTCCCCCGTGAAACAGCTGGTAGTTTCGAACTGCTGACCTTGAGGTTCGCCGCCCGATTCACAACCACTATGCTACCAGAGCTCCTTTAGGGGTCAGTGAAAAATAGGAAGACCCTCAATGAGCGGGGTTGATACAGTGGCTGTGCCAATGGGCTCAGACACTGTCACAAGAGGATGGCACAAGACAAGGCGGTGTTTTGTCCTGATGTGCATGGGGTCATGACATGTCAGAACTGACACAAAGACATGTAACAACCACGCACTCAGGAAATAACACCAGCCACAGTAGGAGTCCTGGTGTGGTGCTGTGGGTTAATGCGCCAGACTGCAGGGCCATTTGAACTGCAAGCTCACCAGCCACTCCTCAGACACCCTATGCAGGGTCACCATGGGTCGGAATCGACTGAACAGCAGTTCACAACAATGGTAGGTTATGCATTATCTTCGTCATATATATTAGCCGCTAAGTGCATTGTCTACAATTCACACATTTGATGTTTTCTTTTTCCCCGCCATCATGTGGGTGGCAGTTAGTTTTGAAGTCTTCAGGTCCTTGGTATCTGAAGTAGAAGGGGGCACCCCACACTCTGACAAACGCTCCACTTTGGCGGGGGGGGGTACTGGTCATCACTGAGCCATTGGTTAGGTGGAGGCATCATTGCTAGCCTGGGGCATGAGGCTGCCGATAGGGTAGGGTTAGGTGGGAGGCCAAATAAATCAGAACAGCTGGTGGGGGTTGTGGGGGGGGAGGGATTTGTTGCCTTAGGTCTGCAACTGCTAGGAGCGGTCTGTCCTCACAGGAGGTTGGGAGGCAGGAGGAAGGAAGAGCCACAATTGCTACACCATCTGCAGGCTTTTGATTATGACAACTCCTGAGAGTTACCTACATTAGTGCCACAGGGTGGCCGATCTCTCAGGTCCTTCCGGATCTCTCTGGCTGCCCCCAGCCTTAATTTCTCTGCATTCAGTTTCTTTCTGCCAAAAATTCCTCTCCAGTGGTATCTAATTTCCTGCCCAAGCCCTGAGTAGTGAACCGTGGCTGACTGAGAGAAGGCGTCTGCCTTGAGCAGCCATGGGCTCCCTGCCCGGAGCCACAATCTAAGGCCCTTCCAAACTGCATTTCAGGACTACACAGCTTAAAGGGAAAGTAAACACTCGTGTAGGACAACACGAAGAAGCCTTGAGAAGGGTCAGTCTCTGGCCAGTGTCCAAACGTCCCCTCACACCTGTTCTTTCAGAAAGCAGGCATGGGAACCCCAACTATCCCCGCTTTGAGGATGCAGCAGGGCACTGGAGGGCTGCTGTCCCCACAGGCTGAAGGACTAAGCACACTCGGCATGCTCGGTGGGGTAGTCCTTGCTGGGAATCACCGTCTCTGCAGACACCTGCGATTGGAGCTGGTCCTCATACTGCTGGAGCTGAGACCAGAACCCTGGGTTGGGTTCAGCTACAGGACGGGCACGCTTCACTGCCTGCAAGCAAGAGACGAGTAAAGGTTATGTATCCAAGCACCGTGATGGTGGTGGGCAATGGTCTAGGTTCTAGTGTCCGACATTGAAGCGACAGGGCGGTGTCTTATGGCTCTTGTCTTAAAAAGTCACCCCACTTCAGCAACACTTTGAGTCTCTAAGACCATTACGTCTGCTTCAGTACAACCAGTTTCCTTCATCTAATGTCCAGTGGAGTCCTGTTGTGGTGCAATGGGTTAATGCACTGGACTGCAAAGCCAGTTTGAACCACAAGGTTGGAGATTTCAAGCTTACTATACAGGATTGCTATGGGTTGGAACTGACTCGACAGCACGTAACAACAACAATGTACAGTGGAGGGTCTAAAAAAAAGGAACACCCCAATGAGATGGATTGGCACAGTGTGGCAGCAATGGACTCAAATATAGCAACGATTGTGAGGTTGGTGCAGGACCGGGCATTGTTTCATAACGTGCATAGGGTTGCCATGATTCCGTACCCTGAGTACTCCTGGAAGATGAAGCCCAATAAACTTCCTGAAACATGCAGGCAGGTGTTAGCTCCAAGTTTTCTTTAGGGAAATGGAAAGATAAATCAAATCTTGGCTGATTACAACTCACTGCCATGACATCAATTCTGCCTCATGGTGACTGTACACAGGACACAGTAGAACAGCTCCTAACATAGAGTTTCCGAGGCTGTAAATCTTTAGGGGAGCAGACTGCCTCATTTTTTCTCCTGAGAAGCAGCTGGTGGGTCCGAACTGCTTAATCCAACACTGATTAACTTGCAATAAATATGAGCTAATTCTTTTGAATGATCAACTGACTTGTTAATAATTCTAGTTCTGAGTACTAACTTGTTGCAGGCACTTCAAAAAGAACATGGGAATATAACACAGATTGCAATCAGTCAATTATGTATTTCACTTAACAATAACAATATTGACCGAATCCCTACGTGGCTAGACAAATGGGCACATCATGAAAATGAAGATTCATAGGTGTAAGCAGTTGTACCCTGGAGCTTAGGGTACAGGTCTGAAAGATAAACTAAGCAGGTACCACAGCATGGATGGCTATTCAGAGCCATTGGCTGCACGGGATCATGGGATGTGAAGGAGGCGGGGACAGCCCTGGACCACTCAGAGATGAAAGGCTGGGAAGGTCTGCCCGCTACGACTAGGCCCCGCCCCGCTCGGAAGACCCACTTCATGATTGGGTCTCGTCCTTCCTGGAAGACCAAAGATTGGGCCCTCCTAACCCACTGAGCAAGTAATACGAGAAGCTGGGGTCTATGAAGAAAAACGTGGCATCAGGATTGGAGGAAGACTCATTAACAACCTGTGATATGCCGATGATACAACCTTGCTTGCTGAAAGTGAAGAGGACTTGAAACATTTACTGATGAAGATCAAAGAGCACAGCCTTCGGTATGGATTGCATCTCAATGTCAAGAAAATAAAAATCCTTACCACTGGACCAGTAAACAACATTCTTATCAATGGAGAAAAGATTGAAGTTGTCAAGGACTTCATTCTTCTTGGATCAACTATCAACACTCATGGAAGCAGCAGTCAAGAGATCAGACGACGTATTGCATTGGGCAAATCTGCTGCACAGGAACTTTTTAAAGTGTTGAAGAGCAGAGATGTCAATAACCGCATGGATGTGAAAGCTGGACAGTGAATAAGGAAGATCGTAGAAGAATTGATGCCTTTGAGTTGTGGTGTTGGAGGAGAATACTGAAAGTGCCATGGACTGCCAAAAGAACCAATAGATCTGTTTTGGAAGAAGTGCAGCCAGAGTGCTCCTTGGAGGCCATGCTGTGCATGGGGTCGCTATGAGTCGGTTCTGACTCGATGGCACCTGACAACAACAACAACCCACTGGAGTTCTGGTGTGGCGCTGTGGGCTAATGCGTCAGACTGCAAAGTCGTTTGAACTGCAAGGTTGGTGGTTCAAGCTCACCAGCTGCTCCTTGGAAACCCTATAAAGTGTCGCTCTCTGAGTCGGAATAGACTCTACGAAAGTTAACAACATATGAAAGACACGCCCTTGGTTTAGAACGACTTCCTACCCGGAAGTCTTGAAATCCACTCCACCGCGAAAACCCGCCCCTTCGATCAGGCCCCTCCCACCTCCCCCTGGAAGTTCTGTCCAGTGATTGGCCCCGCCCTTGTCACTAGGTTCGCCCACCGGAAGATCTGCTCTCGTGATTGGGCCCGTCCCCGGAAGGCCCGCCCACCTCGAAGGCCCGCTCCAGGCTAAGGCCGCGGTATCTCATAAGGTAGGCGGTGCAGACGGTTGCCGAGCGGCTGCGGCCGTTCTTGCAGTAGACGAGACAAGAACCGCCGGCGCGCACCGCGTCTTCCATGGCGGCGCAAGTAGACTCCAGGTGCACCAGCAGGTCCTCCGCCGGATCGTCGAACACGGGCACGCGTAGTGCGGCCACACCGGGCGCGCGCGGACCCGGCTGCTGGCGGGAGACGTTGATGCACAGAGTTACCCCCGCGCGCACCAGCTCCTCCGACGCGGACGCGGCGCGTGCGCTTCCGATGAAGAGCGCGGGGGCGACGCGTGCCAACAGTGGGGGCACGTACGGCGGCGAACTGTCCGTCTCCATAGCCTACAGACTCGGCCGCACCCGGGTTCTAGAGATCTCTGTCGCACTACCGTCCGTACAGCCGGACACCAGAGTCCAGGGAGGTTATTCGCTGAGGCTCGGCCCCCCCCCCCCCCCCCCCCCCCCCCGCGAACCTTCTGTCCCCCAACCCTGGCCATGTAGGCATTAATACAGAAAAGGACCTGCCCACAGTGGTCCTATCTGCTTCCCCATTGGTCAAGCCGGGCGTGGCATAGTTGCCTCTCCTTCGATTGGCTGCAGGTAGCAAGAGCGGCCATTGGCTGGGCTGAGACCGCCGTAATTGGGGTGGGTAGGGCCGGACAGTGGGTTCCTTTTTGTAAGCACCTGTCTGACCTGGGACACCTGGCTTTGTTAAGGTTTCATCACTGACCTACATCCCTTTGTCATGGCCACCTGCATGCCCACGGAAAATTACTGTAGTCAAGAGAAGGCTGCTGGCACTGGAGAATAGACGTGGCTGCTAACCCACCCCAATTACGGGCGTAATTCAAACCCACCAGCCACTCCTTGGGAGAAAAATGAGGCTTTCTGCTCCTGTGAAGGTTTACCACCTTGGAACCCTATACAGAGTCGCTATCGGTCAGAGCCAAGTCAATGGCAGTGAATTTGGATTTTAAGAACCACTTGTTGGTTGCAACGTTGGTAGATTAGGATTCTCGCCTTCCTTACAGGAGTTAAGTCCGTCGAGTTGGATGCGATTCATAGCGACCCTGAATAGGGTTTCGAGGAACGGCTGGTGAGCTTGAACCACCCACCCTGTGGTTCAGACCGATTTTGCAGTCCAGTACATTAACCCGCAGCATCACACTAGGACGTGGGTTCAATTCCCAGCCAATTCAACTCCTGCACAATTACCATCTGTGTGTCAGTGGATGCTTTTGTGTTCCTAGGATGCTGAACTGGTTTCAGCCGAGTGTTCAGTGTCAAATAGAGTAGGAAGAAAGGCCTAACAAGCTGCTTCCAAAAAAGCAGCCAGTGGAAACCCTATGAATCACACCAGTTCCCTCTGTAATCTACCTGGAGATGGTGGGGGGCAGTGTTCTGTCCATTGTGCATGGAGCAGTCGGCCCATTCAACTGCTACCGACAGCAGTAATCACTGGAGTTTTAGGAAGTCAGTATGGCCAGTGCTCATGACGCTTAGGACTGCTGACCGAGGCACCCCTGTGTGTGTGCTGTGTGTGTGTAGTATCTTGTGTGTATTGGGTTTTTGTGTGTATTATTTTTTGCTATCTGTTTCACAATAAATTGATCATTGTAATGTCTGCATTTTATTTTCCACCCACCCACTGCTTTCGACTCAATTCCAACTCATGGTGACCGATGGAACAGAGTAGAACTGTCCCCACTTTCTCCCTGGGAGCTGCTAGTGGGTTTGAACCTGCTGACTTTGTGGTTAGCAGCTCAGTGCTTAAGTCCATGGCACCAGGACACCAGGACACCACTGTAAAATTCGGGTCCTATAAAATAAAACGATTTTCCAGTAATGCTCTTATCACCTCTCCAAGGACCAGCAGCTACTTTGTGCTTAGTATTCCAAGGATTAATAATTTCCACAATCCTGGTGTGGTGCTGTGGGATAAGCACTGGACTGCGAGGTCGGGGGTTCAAACTCAGCAGCCGCTCCTGGAACCACTCCATGACCATATCCACAAAGTTGCTGTTTAAGGAAAACTAACTGATGTGTTTGATGGTTTAGGTCAAAAGTAACTGGTGCAGCCCAGGAGCTATTCTGCAGCCATTTCATTACTGGTTACAATAAAGAAACCTCTGGTTCATCTCCATCCTTCCCGAAATTTACAGTCTGATTCCACCGGACATTAGTCCCAGTACTCACTCCAGTCTCGTACTAGATAAATACGGTAAAATCTACCTGCCTTCAGTGGTGTCCTCCTAACAGCTGCTGGTGGGTGATCTGCTTCTTGATTTCAGCATTTCCCAAGCGGGTCCCTTATGTTTTTATTACAACCTGGGACTCTCTTGTTAAGTGCTATTGGTTTTGACCCATAGTGACGCTGCGTAGGGTTCCCGAGGAGCACCTGGTGAGCTTGAACCACCGACCTTGCCGTTGAAACGGACTTTGCAGTCTGCCACATTAACCCATAGTGACACACCAGGGCTCTCTTGAGGAAGGCTCAAATATCCCACCGACATTGCCAACGTCATTTACCTGGAAGTCTTCCCAGCATCCATTCCTCTCTTCTGCTCCAGGAAGGCCCCAGACTTCCTGGGATGGGGTTTCAGTTTTCCAAGGAGCTCTGGTAGTGTAGTGGTTACGAATCAGGCTGTGAACCGCAAGGTCAGCAGTTCGAAACTACCAGCGGTTCTGCGGGAGAAAGAAGAGGTGTTCTGCTCCCGTAAAGATTTACAGCCTCGGAAACCCTGTGCAGGGTCGCTATGAGTTGGAACCAACCGACTCCATTGCACTTAACAACAACAACATCCATTTACAGATAGGCTCCCTGGGCACTAGCTCCAATGACTGGCACTAGTTGGTCCCAGTGGGTCAGTGAGTCCCGCCCACACCTTAGGAGTTTTCTTCAGGAATGGGTTTGGGATGCAATGAGAAGCCACAGAGAGGGAGGAAGTCAGCCTCGGAGCGAAGGTACAGGCAGTGAGCTAAGTCACACCAAATCTCCAGTGCTGCCTGCCTCTGGACTGCCGAATTGTGTTGTTGATATCGAGTCAGTACCGACTCACAGCGACCCTGGGCACAGCACAACAAAACACTGCCCGATCCTGGGTCAACCTCACAATTCTTGCCACGCTTCAGCCCATTGATGCTACCATTTTACTAATCCATCTCGCTGGGGTCTTTCTCTTTTTCTCTGACCCTCCACCCTACCAACTGGTCCCTCCTGACAATATGTCCAAAGTATGAGAGACAAAGTTTGGCCATCCTGGCCTCCAAGGAGCACTCTGGCTGCATTTCTTCCAACACAGATCTGTTGGTTCTTTTGGCAGCCCATGGCACTTTCAATATTCCCCTCCAACATCATAATTCAAATGCCTCAATTTTTCTATGGTCTTCCTTATTCACTGTCCAGCTTTCGCATGCATATGAGGTTATTGAAAATACCATGGCTTGGGTCAGGCACACCTTCATGCTTAAGCTGAAATCTTTGCTCTTCGACTCTTTAAAAAGGTCTAGTTCAGCATATTTGCCTAATACATCCTTTGTATTTGATTTCTTGACTGCTGCTTCCATGAGTGTTGACAGCTGATAGTTGATCCAAGAAGAATGAAGTCCTTGAAAACTTCCATCTTTTCTCAGTTGATAAGAATGGTGTTTATTAGTCCAGTGGTGAGGATTTTTTTCCTCTTTACATTGAGATGCAATCCATACTGAAGGCTGTGCTCTTTGATCTTCATCAATAAATGTTTTAAGTCCTCTTTGCTTTCAGCAAACACCATTGGTTGTATCATCTGCATATCGCAGGTTGTTAATGAGTCTTCCTCTAATCCTGATGCCACATTTTTCTTCATATAACCCAGATTTCTGAATTGTAGATAGAGAAAAATGTGGTATGAAGCTGAAAGTCATAATTTTTTTTTTTAAAGTCAGCTGTCTGGTAGAGACTGGTGGAACCTTTGAGACTATGACCTTTAGTTACCCTTCAAGCATCATCCCAGTGGTTCAACTTTCAGCCCAAATACAGACAGGCCTATAAAGTGAGCAATAACACCAGGGAGAACACACGCCTGAGAGCTCCCAAAAAGGCAGCATTCCCCCAGGGATAGAGCTCGGAAGGCAGGGAGGAAGAGGAAAGAAGGCAGAACGGAAACGGGAACCAGGAAGGAAGTGGGAAGTGTGCTGTCACATTGTGGGGATGGCAATCCGTGTCGCAAAACAACACGTTGATGAAGTCTTGAATGGAAAATGGATTTGCTCTGAAAGCTTTCGCCCAAACCACAATAAAAGTTTTAAACATTTATTAAAGAGGTTCCAAAAGAAACAAAAAGGAGCTCTGGTAGCGTAGTGATTACGAATCGGGCTGCGAGCCGTAAGGTCAGCGGTTAGAAACTATCAGCTGTTCCACGGGAGAAAGATGAGGCTTTCTGCTCCCGTAAGGATTTCCAGCCTTGGAAACCCTGTACAGGGTCGCTATGAGTCAGAACCGACTCCACAGCACATAACAACAACAACAAAAACAAACAAAATTACCCATTCAGACTTAATACTCATACATGACCTATTGTGTCTCCTCGTCGTCCTTCTGATGTCACTTTTGGGCTATGAGTCCACTCTGGGCATCCTCCCAGCAGCCCATGGGTACATCCCAGCTCAGTCCCTTTGTCTTCACGAGGACTGAGAACCTAGCAACATTTGAAACGCAAGCAGAAGGTAGACTCCTTTTGGAATGTTCACACTTGTACAGGTTCATACCTACATGTGACTTGATTGTAAGTTTTCCAGGACTTTTCCCACTGCATTTGACCATCAATTGCTCATATGCAAATTCAAACTGAAGCTGAAGAAAATGAAAACAAGTCCACGAGAGTCAAAATATGACCTTGAATATACACCACTCGAATTTAGAGATCATCTGAAGAACAGATTTGATACATTAAACACTAAAGACTGAAGGCCAGAAGAGTTGTGGGATGACATCAAGAACATCATACAAGAAGACAGCAAAAAGTCATTGAGAAGACAAGAAAGAAGGAAAAGGTCAGAATGGATGTCAGAAGAGACACTGAAACTTGCTCTCCAGCATAGAGGTGCTAAAGCAAATTGAAGAAATGAGGAGGTACAAGAGCTGAACAGAAAATTTCGAAGGTCAGCTCAAGAAGATAAAGTCAAATATTACAACGAAATGTGCAAAGATCTGGAGGCAGAAAACCAAAAAGGAAGAACACACTCAACATTTCTTAAGCTGGGAGAACTGAAGAAAAAATTCAAGCCTCGACTTTTATTATTGAAGGATTCTCTGTGAAAATTATTGATTGATGCAGAAAGCATCAAAAGAAGATGGAAGGAATACACAGAGTCACTGTACCAAAAGGAAATGGTTG